AACAACTCAAAAAGATCCAGATTGCGCTCCAAAGTATATCGCGCATCCCTCATCCACCTCGGTCTAAGAGCATGATTCGTTTCATCCTCTTCTGCTAATAGTGTGTATGAGCCTGAAGTCGGTGGTTGCCGGAAAGATGCAGCTACGATGAAGCATTCCATGACTCCGAAGCTGGCTAGAAAGAGACCACCCCATGCTTTCGTCCAGTACAACCCGCTTGTAGCCATGAGCTTGACAGCCTGAGTGAGGGTTCCGATAACAAAGATGAGCCATCTAACACTGGTCAGGGTTTCGAGGGTCTGGAATCCTTCTTGAGGTCCAGAGTCCCGCAGCGGCCGCGTTCGCACACGCATCGCTCTAGTGGCAGCATCCAGTGGCGAAGTATAGTATCCCGAGAGCAGATATACCGAAAAGCGAATGAGTTGTGCCAACGCATCAAATGCGCAGATGATCGGAGAGCTCCGAAGATAGGTCCGCAACTGATGTGGGTACTGTAACACTTGGCCAGATGGCTGGGTCATACAGCTCAAAGCGAGAGGAAGCAAGGACCAAAAAGCGCTCTGCCATGATACCTCTTGGGAGGGCGAATCTGCAAGTTGTGTAAGTATACCTATTCCAGCCTTGCACGAGTGGAAATGAGCTTGCCTTGCTCCCAGTACCAAATCATGATGACCCCGATATCTAGGTGTGCGTCGACCGGTGAACAACGGGACGCGCACAGTAATCGACGGTAGTGGGGTTCGATAATGTGTCAGAAGTCTAAGAAGGAAGTAGAGGCCGTCAAGTTGGATCAGGCTGAGCCTTGGCGGGGTGCTCAGCCGCACTCTTCGCATGCACGATGTGGTTGGCCAACCTTTTCCTCACACGTCATCGTGGTTGCTTTTGCACGCAAGACGGAAGTTTACTCTTTCCTGTGTTCGCATCAAGGGACGAAATCGTGAACTACCCGGGTGGCATTGACTCGAAAGATCAACTAACATGATCTCGTTGATTGATGGTATCTACGGAGCAAAAGACCTTGAAGTAGACACATTAAATCGTTCAAAACTGCTCTTTGGTGCGATACTAAGCAATCCAGTACCAGATCTTCTGCATAACGTTCTTCGGCACAGGTGCACCGGTGATATCGTCCTTGCATAACTCGTTCATCTCTCGCACACCCGTTATAACATCAATGTGCTCGACCTTGATCGCAAAGGGCGTCCTGAAGTAGATCTTGTGGCCAGCATAAAGTACGATGAAGATTGGAATGGTGATATAAGCGGCAAGGAAGTCGGACACGGCCCAGTTCGCAGGCACAAAGACCTGGAAACCGTTGGTCAGAGTCAGGAGCGACACTACGCCGAGGATAAAGTATGTAAGATATGGCTGGAACGGTGTGCGGTAGGGTAGAGTTTCGAGCAAGTTGTGGAAGATCATGGCTTTGCGGAAGCGGATGTATGTGATCATGACCACGATCCAGGCAATGAATCCAGAAATGGTGGAGATGTTGGAGAACCACAAGAAGACCTGGGCACCAGTGCTGGAGACATTCAGGTACGCGAGGAGTCCAATGGCCCATGTAGCGAGAACAGCAACATATGGTACACCTTTCTTGCTGGTCCTGCCGAAGATCTTAGGCGCTTCTCCGTTGAGAGCCATACCATACAAGACACGGGATCCAGAGAACAAGAAAGCGTTTCCGGCAGACCACGCTGATGTCAAGACGGCCGCGTTAACGACGTGGTTCAGACCTACGATTCCCGCACGCTGAATACCAATGACGAAGGGAGAAGCGGAAGCGTTGGAGCTCTTGCTGAGGAGGCGATCATCGTCTGATGGGACAATGACACCGATGATAAAGCTTCCCAGACCATAAAAGATGGCGAGACGGTAAACGAATCGGCCAGCAGCCTTGGGGATGTTTCGGCGCGGGGCAATAGTCTCTCCGGCAGCGAGCGCAATCAATTCAGGCGAAGTGATGAAAGCAAATCCAGCACGGACGAACGCAGTCCAATAAGCCAGGAAGCGCCCGGAGTTCCCTTCCACGATGTACGGTTTGAAAGCTCCGGGATTGTTCCAGTACCTGAACCCGAGCCGGCCTTGGTCGTTTGGGCTGCCACCTAGCATGATCACAAAGCCGAGAATGACGAGACCGATAATGGTGATAAACTTGATAGAAGCGAACCAAAACTCGGCTTCTCCGAAAACCTCCACTGCGACGATGTTGAGGAATAAAACCACGACCAGGAAGATGGTGATCCAGACAGCATTGTGGACAGGCGTCTCCCAGTACTCCACAAGAATGGCTCCGGCTGTAGCTTCAGCGGCCACTAAAATCGCGTAGGCGTACCAGTAATTCCAACCAGCGGCGAATGCGAGGCTCGGGTCTACGAATCGCTTGATGAAATAAGGGATAGTAATACCGCGCATGGGAAGGTAAGTGACGATTTCAGCCAAGTTGTTCATGACGTTGTAAACAACAAGCATCATACTGAGATAGGCCATGAATAAGGGAGCAGGGCCGACCAAAGCAAGGATAGATCCAGATCCAATGAAGAGACCAGTTCCGATAGCACCACCGAGCGCACTGGCAAGGTGTTAGCGATTGGTTCAGCGACCCAAGAGAATGCGGACTTACAGAAACTGGATGTGTCGACTCTTCAGTCCACGATGTGTGTCTCCTCCTCGTCCAGTCTCACCACCAACAGTAGCGGCGCCATGAACAAACGGCTCCTCAAAGCCAACTTGACTCTCGTCGTAGCCATACGGCACAGCCTCAGGCTTCTCGTCGGCCATGTGGTGGTTGGGCATGGTTAACACGAGACAGAAGGAAGGCTTGGTCGGCGGTACCAATCTTGCTTTCGCCTTAGGGGGATACCTAGTGGTTATATAGATGGAATGCCAAAGGCGGCTGTGAAATGCGCCGGCCGTGATAACAGATTTTGTAACAAATGTGGTGTATGGGCCGGCGCGAGAGGAGGATTATTCCACGTTCGCGGTTCGGACCTACCCAAACATGGTACGGCTTCGGTGGCCAAGTCCTTATCGAACGTATGGGACGATCGTAGCCCAGACCCTTGTCAGAACGGGTTCTGGGAACCAATTATCGTTGGCTAGTGCAAACTACCGGTAGGAAATGCGGGGAAAAATACCTCGAGCGCTGTGATGGTTGCAGCCCGTTACTTTACTCGTATGATGACGTCCCCTCTGAGCGGCGCGCATTCCTTCGGTTTTACTTCCTTGCGCCACGGGCACTGTTCATCTGTTGGGGTTTTAAGACGCGCCCTACGTGCGGAGTGAGGTGATAAGAACTGAGCCGACGTAAACCGTGCATATTGTGTGCATGAGGCTCAAACTGGGCGTGTCCAGAGCCCGGACAAGCTTTTGGAGATATGCTTAGAAGCCTTAGCGCTCGAGGTACCCGCCGCTGGTTTGCGAGCTGGGTCTGGGTAGAAATGGAGCTGATCATGGGGCGCATGGAGAGTGCACTGACTGACAGTTAACTGCAAAACCTGGAGATCGCGGGGATGGCGGTTCGTGCTTCATCCGGCGGCGCTGTTATTTGGTCCCACCGGACAAGTCTCCGATGAAACCAACCAAGACTGTATGCGCCGTATAGGAATAGACGCAGTAGCTCGACATGTTGGTACCTATTCGCTTAGAAAATCTTGACATTCAACCGCAATACTATTAGGCCTCCCTTGTTATCATCATGTGCTACTGTTATCTTCAGCATTCGTACCATTGAGGTTTTCAAACGTAACACTTTCACCCAGGCAGGATCTCAGAAGCTTGGATGTCGCTTCGAGGATGCTCACTGCGGGTCTCTTGTGGGTACATCATCCGTAGGGCCATGATGGCGCGACCCACTGTCATACCAGACATCAATCTAGCAGCTTTAGCATGTACTCGGATTTCTGAGTGAAGGAACCCTTTCGCATCTCATCCTAGTACTTACTTACTTGCCGACCTTCAAGAAAAAGCTGGCTGTCAGCTTCGGTAAATATCAGTGCGGTAACACTGCGCGGGCGTCCGCCCCAGTCGACACGGCTGGTCCTGCAATCCTGCGCACACCAACATGTGGGTCTCCTGATACCATTCAGTCCACCCGCATACCCTTGTGAAGGCAGGTAGCAACATACAACATGCACTCTTGGTGCACACTCATCTCTCTCTTTGAGTACATATAACCCATGACATCGCACAGGGCGATTTCTATGCTTGTTCGTGTAAGCTTACAGCGGCCCAATATCCTCTACAGTCGATTATATCTCAATACGTAAGCTGACTCGTTCGCGTGGACCTGTCGAGTTGGTTTGGTCAAGCTTCGAGGGTGCTTGGAAGGAACAATAACCCCTCACCAAGCTTTCTGCACATGCCCGCGGCAGGAAGCGAAGGCGCGGAGATGACACCATATGCGCGCGTCGCGAACGTCATACCGCAGACGTGTATGCACGCGCTTCGAATCTACAATCCCCATCGACTCTAGGGACCGGCATAAAGCATCAATCGAGAAGTTCGCGATATGATTTCGCAGGTTGTGATCGACAAAGTGCTATCGAAAGCGCGGGAAACTGCGTCGCATAGCTGGGAGTACGGCACCGTATTTGAAGCGCTACTCGAGTACAGAGATCCTCATTACAGCATCTTTCATGACCCATTTCCGGGGGGCGAGATACCGGAGTTACAGGCTGAGGATGTAAAAGCACTGGAATATGTGAGGCCGTTCATACAGACGAATAGCACGAGATTGTGTGACGGCAATGGTAAGCCATCTGATACTGGTCGCGAAGAACGTATCCTAACGATAGCGACTAGGTTCGTCGTCCGATCCAACATCTCTTTGCATTCCCGCGTTGTTGCTCTACAAATCAACAACCTCCCAAGCGCCTGACAATCCTTACCTTTCCGCTGTAGATCGCCAGCTGCACGACCTGCTCGCCACCACGCCCAGGTACACCAACGGCGCAATTTCGCATCGTGATGCGTACCCTTCTTTGTGGGCAGACTTCATCTACATGGTGCCGCCTGCTCTTGCATACCACGGTGTCGTCACCTCAGATACAGGCATGGTGAAAGAGAGCGTACAGCAGTGCCGGCTATACTGCGAGGTGCTGGGCACGTCGAAAGGGTATTGGCGACACATCGCCAATGCCGAGGGCACAGGCAGCGTAAAGAGCGATGACGGCGCGTGGTGTACGAGCAATGCCTGGGCTGCAGCTGGGATGACTAGGGTCCTAGCAACATTGCGCAAATCTCAATATGAACTGGAAACCGCTGATGAGCAGGAGATGCTACTAGATATGACCAAAGGCATTCTTGACGGCACGATAGATGCTGATACTGATGCATCCGGCCTGTTGCGTAACTATCTCGATGACGAGACATGGTTTGCAGAGGTTGCTGGGACAGCGTTAATGGCAGCTACGGTCTTCAGGATGGCGGTCCTCGAGCCTGGCACATTCGGAGAACGGTATGTAGGATGGGCGACGCGTAAGTTGGAGTCTGTCAGTGACCATCTAGATGAGGAAACTGGTGTTGCGGCACCTGTGGTCAACTCACTGAAGGAGGGTCAGCGGACGCCACTCAGCGGCATCAATCCGGAGGGACAGGCTTTTGTCGTATTGTTATACGCTGCATGGAGAGACTGGAGGACTGCTGCAGATCATGCATCAATCGCAATGACCGGAACTTACGCGTCGGCGACATGAGCGGCGCGTGCCGCAGTGGTTCGCGTCGTTTGTACCTCGGCAAATCCGACTCCTCACGTCAACCATGACTCGCCGACACGCAATGGAAGGCATGCCTTCAATCACAGAGTGCGTGACATAGATAAATCTGCATCTCGCAACCAAGGGATCAAACTGCGCCGTCTTACAGTGAATTCCATAATACGACATGACGTCTACCAATACCCCCGTGATCATCGGCGTGGGCGACATCAAGAATCGCTCCACCGCCATCGCGGATGCGAAGGAGCCGGCAACATTGATGCTAGAAGCCATCCAGAAAGCCATCAGCGACACTGCATCTCTTTCGAAGACCGATTTGCAGTCTGCAATCGACAGCATCGATGTCGTCAAGACGTGGACTTGGCCGTATCCAGATCTACCCGGGCTTTTGGCAGAGAAGCTGGGCGTTGATCAGAGTCTAAAATGGAAGAGATATTCCGAACATGGAGGCGACAAACCAGGAAAGCTCTTCGATGAGGCCGCTAAGAGGATTGCAAAAGGCCTCTGCAAAGTCGCGATTGTAACTGGAGGCGAAGCATTAGCTTCGTGTACGTACCGCATGCCTTTCCGCCGTCTCCACTCATCACTAACTGTACCAGTATCCGCATGCGCAGCTGCAAAGAAGCTTCCACCACCAGGCTGGACAGCTCCGTCCGAAGCCGTAGATTCGGTCTTCACACCAACAGGTCGCGACCTAGGAAATAGTGCGGTTTCTTCTCTTTGGCAAACCCTTTCTTCTACTGACTCTCGCAAAGACCTCGGAGCTATTCACAAGATTGGTGCGCCAATACATGTCTACCCACTTTACGAAAACGCGTTTCGTGCGCATCGCGGGCAGACGCTGAAGGCAAACCACGAAGAGAGTGCAAAGCTGTATGCTGAATTTGCAGACGTCGCAAAGAATAATGAGTACGCATGGAATCAAGGAACTTCAAGTAGTGAAGAAGACATCAAGACTGTTGGGAAGAAGAACAGGATGATATGCTATCCTTGTGGGTCTCTCCTCTTTCCGCATTAGGAACGTACGCTTACATCATGCGCGCAGATCCCCTGCTTATGAACGCCTTCAACACGGTTAATCTTGCCTCTGCAGTCATCCTTACATCGACTTCATTCGCCAAAAAGTTAGGTGTTCCCGAGTCGAAATGGGTTTATCCGCTTGGCGGCGCGGGAACGAAGGACGCCGATGAGTTCTGGAAACGACCAAACTTCTATTCCTCGCCGAGCATATCGCGCTCTATCGATGCGAGCTTGGAAGTTTCTGGTGCTACCAGGGAAGAGATGGACATCATTGACATTTACTCCTGCTTCCCTATCGTGCCTAAGATGGCGGCGCAGCATCTAGAAATACCTGTGGTTGGTCGTCAAAAGCCACTGACGATACTTGGTGGTCTGACATCGTTCGGCGGAGCTGGCAATAATTATTCCATGCATGCGCTCACCGAGATGACTCGGCAGATAAGAGAAGGTAAAGGGAAAAAGGGACTCGTGCTCTGCAATGGCGGCGTTCTGAGCTATCAGTACGTCGTCATATTGTCAAAAGAGCCTAGAAGAGAAGGAAACTATCCGATAGAGAACCCTCTACCGCCGCAGATTACTGATGTTCCTGCGCCTGAGCTCATTTTCGACCCAGAGGGCGAGGCTATTGTCGAAACTTACACCGTAGAGTTCAACCGAGACGGCAGCCCGCTTCGAGGTCACATCATTGGTCGCTTAAAGAGCAGCAACAAACGTTTCCTCTCGAACCATGGAGATGAAAGTACATTGCGACAGATGGCCAGTGGTGCAGTCGAGATTGTTGGTAAAAGCGGATGGGTTTGGCAAGATGGTGAGAAGAAGGGAAGGTCGCTGTTTGCATTCGACAAGCCAGCAAGACTGTAGCGACTTATCAAGCGCGTGAAGAGAATGATGAGCTAGAATATTTTCTATCAAGCGCTGACAGGTCGAGTGAATGGAAGTGCCATTTCTCTGCGAGTACATGTGGCAAATCTACGTAGGTACGCTACGAGGTGCTGCGGTTTGGACTTTGCACAGTCCCCCAGCCTACTTATCTACCCGGGTGCAGTCTCTCATCAACAATACACGCAGTCAACTATAGATCTACCTTCTTGGTCCCTCAACTCGCTCTGCATTCATCTTCAAAATACTGCGGCGCCATCGGGCAACATCTCTCAGTCATGCCTTCCTCATCTGCAACACTAGACGGCATCACGACTTCCCTATCTGCGATAAAACCAAACCCTACTGTCTCATCCCCTCTGACTGAGCCCGCACAATCTTCTTTCGGAAAGCTTCCCCTAGAAGTCCGACAGCAAATCTACCGATACCTCTTCAACAAACGCGACCCTGATTCACTCTCGGTCGGTATCCGCCTTTGCTACCGCCGCACCTTTCAAGCCCTCGAATCATCCGCGCGGCCCATCCTCTGGAGTCTCATGTTGACCAGCCGCCAAATCTCACAAGAGGTGCGCACTTACTTCTTCGGCTTCTACTGCTTCAATCTCATACCCGCACATGGGAAATACGGTTACCAGAGTCTCCTCACGACGTTTTGGCTGAAGATTGGGGCACATAACCTGTGTCTTATACGGAAGCTTTCGCTGCCTTTGTACTCTATCCGTTTGTTCGACGAAAGAAACGGTATGGTGGAGCAGTCGAAATTATGGTTCGCGTCGAATCTTCTGGCGAAATTCCCGGCGCTTACCCATCTCGACCTGGGCTTGCATGTGCTAGAGTGTCTACCACGCGATCACTTGATCTTCTCAAAAATGCTACCAACGGCTGAGGAGATGAGAGCCATGAGAGAGTGGGAATGGAGTGGTATCGAAACAAACATACCTTTGCGAGAATGCTTTGAGGAGATAGGTAGCGCTATACAGGGGGAGAATGTAGAGGTTGGGATATACTGGTGAGTGGGCTATAGCAAACGGAAAGATTCCAGTAACGTATTCTTACTGACATGCGATTAAGGTCAGACTTGCTTCACCTGGAACTACTGCGGGAGCATAAATGGCAGACGTTTGACCGACTTGAGGCAGCCTATAAAGAGAGGCTGCTGGTGATACTGCAGAAGTGGCTTGAAGCGAAGTCAGTGCAGAGCAAAGGGCCACTTCGAGGCTTTCGAAGGGTTGATGATCAATCTTCTCGTGGTTATGACATTGTGGATAAATACTATTGAGCCATCGGGGTAGACGATAAGTTGACGGATTGTGTGGAAGATATGGAAAGATCACACAAGGAAGCATTATGTGAATCAGTGTTATTGAAAGCAGTTCAATGCCTTTCATATCGTATGTGCTATCGGTATAGTAATCATTTGAAGACTTTTGCTGCTGTGCAGAAAGAAATGAGAGCTGAAGAAAGTCAAGCAGATTCTCCAAGGTAACCCAACCACTGGGAGTATTGTCGCTTTAGCTGAGAAGGTACTAAAGCCTTTGAGTCCGTCGCTGGTGGTAAGGCACCGGGTAGAATTCAACCCCCACCGATAGGACATGCCGATGTCCTTGACCGAGCTTAGCAAGCGTGACATGGTGAGGCGACATGTCTGAACATTCAGGTCAGCCGATATAGCGAAAAAAATGGCGCAACAGTCACTTACTGATGAGCTGGTGAAGATCGCTCATACCACACTATGCTGAGCCCAACCTTCACAGCTTCAACCGTTCCATCAGGCTCGAAACCTGCAATCTTCAGGGCTTCTTGGGTTGGTACTGTCCCACTTGAAATGCTGTAGCAATATAGCCCAATCCCCTTGATTCTCACCCACTCAGCTAAGAGAAGCTTCAGATCCTCGAGGTCGCTGCGTAGTCCCCAAAATCCCCACATTATGGTCTGTATGGCATTTGCATGTTGCGGCTGCAATGAATGCATCCATCTGTTCATGGCTGAGGGACTTTCGATATGGTTGGGGCTGAAGATGTTGTTCTGGAAGAAAAGTAAACTTGTGTCATGGCGGAATTGGCGGCAGGTTCGGGAGAGAGCTGTCTGCTCACGCCAATGAAGACCCATGCCAAGTTTTCGGATGAGATAGTAGGATGGTTTTTCCACAGATGTCTCATGAATCATGTAGCTCTGGCCTCCTATAACGTAGTCGTAGATCTGGTTCCGGATCTCTGCTGGTAGGCGAAGGAGAGGTGAGTTGCTGTTATGGAGAGCCCTAGAAACCATCTCATCAGCTGATGTCAAATGTCAGAAGGCTTTGAAAATACTTACATGGCTGCCCGACGTAATGTCTCACTTCTGGTGACGCGAAAAATACTGGGCTTTGCGACTCTACTTGTCGTCTTGGATGTGGGAGTCTTCCGACCGCGCTTCTCGATGTTGGGGCGCGCCATCGTATGGTGTAAAGAGTTGTGGAAGTCAACGTCGATGACAAGGCCAGTTTGTAGTCGGTTGGTGCTCGGGATCCGCGCTAGCGCGTGGTAAGTGGTGAGTGATGGGAAGCAACTGCGAGGGTAAAGGTAAACGGGAAGGTGCACTACACATATTTGATGGTAGTTTATGGATGCGCAAACATGACACAGGTCTACTGAACGCCCAAGACCCGCGTTCTCGCGATAAGTGGGAATGTATCACGACCAGACTCCCCCATACGTTGATATTATCCTTGCTTTTCAGGTTGTTCCCTTTTCGCATCTGCGTTGGCCTGTCACAACAGCTCGCCCATGACATGTCTTCGTGCTGCGCTCATGTCTCTCACCCAGATTCCCACTTTTAATTAACCAAAGTACAGCACATTCAAACCCTACACACCATACCCGCCCCTCCGTCCCATCAATCAACATTCCCCGCCCATCCCCAAGCCCCGAAAGACAAACCACCTAGTAAACCCGTCTCGGAGCGTGCGAACGATGCGGATAATCTCTCGAACTCCTATGCGGATGCCCCGAACGCGTAGAGCGCTTGCTTGAACTTCGTCTTGGTTGGGATTTCGATCTCGACTTGGATGAATGCGAGCGTGAACGTGAGTGCGATGACGATTTGCCGCTAAAGCAGGCGAGCAACGCCACGAGGGCGCTTGTGATACAAATGGTTGCGGTTGGATGGGTGCGTTGAGGGTGTTTGGGAAGATGTATTCGGATGTAGAAGGAACGGCCGTTGAGAGGTGATGGTTGATGATGATGATGATTTCGTGATAGCTAAGTTTATGGGTCGTTACTTCCTCTTATACACTATATGGTGTGCAGTGCGGCATCTCACCTTGGACGTCACTTCCTCCCCGCTAAGTACTAATGACATGCGCCGAACCACTCTCTCCAAACATCTAGACCTCTAGGCCTGAGTTACCAACTCGACTGTTAACATTCAGACCCGCGATACCCGGACCCTGCATGAGTCTTGTTGCTTGGCTGTGCATGGCGTCCGGATCCTGGCTTCAACATGATTGGTTGATGTCCAGAAAAGTCCGTGGCGCATGTTCAGAATGACGTTCGCTGTGTATTTCGTGGACAATTTCAATGTACTGGTAATGTATTCATAGCTCCGCAAGCTTATATGAACGTTGAATCTTTACAACCCACTAAGCACACTCTGCACCCCCACAGTTCCAACATCATCTCTCCTAGCAATAAAGCCCTTCAGCTCCTGCGCATCCTGTCCACCCGCAGCCCTGAGCCTATCCCTTAACGCCTCCGGTCCAATAATGAACAACGTGCTGACATCCGTCAGCACATCCATAGCACCAGGTTCCAGCTCATCACCCGTAGGCCATGCTCTCACGAGCTCAACATAACGGTTCATGTCTTTAGATACACTGAGACCACCGACTTGTGAGATGGTGAACTTGAGCAAGTGGGATAGAACGAGGGATCGCAGACCGCGAGCGAGTTCGGCGAGGAAAAGGGAAAGATTGCGACCGGAGAGGGCGGCGGAGGCTTGAAAGGCGACGCGGGTTAGGAACGCGGAGACGTCGCGACAAGCTTGTGTTTCGGTTGTTACCATCAGGTCGTCTTCTTTGGGCCGGAAGTCGGTCTTCTTTTGTTGAGACAGACATCTGCTCACCCAGTTGAGAGATGCTGTGAGTGTGAGATTGAGGATATTGGATAGTTTTGATTCAAGGGTCGACGTTGTGCTATTCGCGGACTTTTCGATGTCACGGCGAATGGTGAGGTTGGGTGTGCAGAGGGGGAGGACGATGGTTGTAGTGGTTTGTTGGAGAAGATGTAGGATTGTGGTGATGGCGTGGAGCGATGGGAAGTGGGCGAGATCAGGAGCTGTCTTGGAGTTTTCTTGAGAAACGGCATGGTCTTGTGCACTGTTATGATGTTAGTAAGGAAGCGCAATTCAAGCAGGTGTGACTTACGCGTCTAGTGCCGTCTCCAGATAGATCTCGCCCATCTGCCGTAGCAGTAGGTTCAGTAATATCTGCACGTCCTTCGGCGTCTCATTACCAGGCGACAGCTCAAGTCCACGCCCAACACCTTCTGCTAGCCACTTGAGCATACGCTTAGCGACTGGTAGCGATAGCCTGCCATCTTCATCAGTCACCTCAATGTCTTTCTTCTCTTGTTGGTCTTCTTTCAAGCCAGCAATACGAAGCAGCGTTGCTTTTTGACTGGCGGGCAACTCGGTGCTTTCAAGGCGTTCCATGTACTTGTCACGAGCGGATGCAGCCAACTCCTTGCCTCGCTGGGCCAGCGATCCAAAGTACGAGGTTGGCATCTTGCTACGTCGCGAGTGATAGATAGTGAACTTGAGCAATAGCGAAGAGTAAAGCTCCTCCAGGTTCTTCTTTTCGCGCTCGATATACTTTTCTCCAATAAAGTAGGAGGAGAAGAGCTCTTCCAGCTGCTGATCAAGGGTAGCTGCGACCGCCGAAGTAGCAGGCTCCGGGTGCTCTGTCAACCCATGTGATTTTAGATCGTCCACCAACTGCGTGATGT